GTTGAGCTATAGGCACCGAGCCCCTCCACTTGCCTTTTCACTGTGAACAGAGAACTCATCGAAAAACTTTCCCAAGTTCAGGGGTCTTCTACACTCTCCCTTCTGTTGGACTCCCAAAAATAAAACATAAGCTAATCAAGTTCCACAAGGCCCTCTCTGCTCTCTGTGGGGCAGAGAGGAACGTGGCCCTGAGCAGGGCTTTCCATGGGGCTCTCACCCAGTCAGAGACAGGGCCCTCAAGAGAGAGGGGAGGACTCCACTCCCAGTCACACTGCCTTGTTTTCTACCCTTCAGCTTTGTCACACTCTTCTCTAAAGAGAGAGATGAAACTGAGAGGCCTGCAGAACTTAACCTTTCAGTCTGAAACATATTTCAAGCACCTGGCCAGCGCTAGGTCCTGAGCTGAGTGCAAGGGATGCTGACAGACGACATGCCAGCTAGCCTGGAGGGTCTGCTCAGATCAGATTTACACGGACCTAACGAATCTTAAAGTTCAGGGACCCTCACTTCAACAGGCTCCTGGAAAAGCAGGCAACTGCTGAGAGTTATAGAGTATTCCAGATGGAAAAGACACCAGCTTAAGATCAGGAAACAATTCTGTGTAAGTATTTTTAACAAACAGCCTAAAGAACAAGAAAGACGGCAATAACTTTCCCAAGTTCCCTCTCCCTCTCCGGAGTCTGCCCTCCCTGCAGAGGAAGCATCCGTGCTCTACCCTCCACCCCACCTACACAGGGACTTACTGCCAACTATCTTCCCTCATCCCGGGCCATCAGATTTTCTCTCTGTTGGAAATTCCTATTAGCATGCAAATAAATGATCATTTCATTTATCTTACAAGAAAAATAATATTTTAAATCCTACATCTCCCTCCAACTACTGCCTCACTTGCACAAATTGAACAAAATGGATTCCTCTCTTCATATTCTCTTCTGAACCCACTGAATCTGCCTTTTCCCCCATTTGCCATGTGATTCAAGATCACCAAAGCTCCACACACTGTTAAATCCAACAACTAGTCTTCACTTTCCTGGCCTCTCAGCACCACTTGACACAGCCAGCTTCTTCCTCCTTTGTAAAGACTTTCTTCACTTGGCTTCTCCTGACTCTCTTCCCCTATCATTGGCTGCTCCTTCTCAAGCTCCGCTAGTTCCTGCTCCTCTCTGGAAATTTAAATATCTCACGTCCAAGAGTGTAGTCCTCTTCTCTACCAACACTCCCTTGGCGACTCATCTCCACACATGGATGTCCTGAAGATTCCCAAGCTGAGATCTTTACCTGGATAGACCTCTGAGTAAATTCCAAACAAAGAAATCCACCTTTTATGAAATATCGCCAATTGGAGAAAGCTAAAACTGGACTTCCTCAGGTTCCCAGACCTGCTCCTCCCCTGCTCTCTCTCATTTCCTCATTAAGTGCTAACTTGTTTCCACTCCCTCAGGCCTAAAGCCTCAGAGTATTCTCTAAGGTCCCTCCCCCTCTGCCTCCACTCTACCCAACCTCAAGTAAAAAGAATTAAAATTAACACATTGGACTCACTTTGCTCCAGATGCTATTCTGCTATTCTTTTCTTTCTTTCACTTTTTTTGTACGGAGTCTCACTTTGTCACCCAGTGCCGTTTGCTTGATCCTCATAACAACACTAAGAGGTAGGGAGCACTATTACCACCCCTATGTTTTGGAACTGAGGCATGGAGAAGTTTGGAAACTTGACCGAAGTCACAGAGCTGTTAAATGATGGAGCCAAGACTAAAGCCCAAGCAGCCTGCTTGTAGGCACTAAAAAACATGCCTTCTATCTTTCCCCTAATCAACAAAATTGATGGCAGAAAACCTTAACGCCAGTGTTTTAAAAATGTTTCTCTGTCTTCTGTAATACTTTATCTATAGTGTTTAGGACAGTGCTTGGTATTAACTATTTGACGAGTGAGTAAGATAAAGAAGCCTCACCTTCTTTATCTGTAAGACAGTGTCATAACACCTATGTTTAGAGAGGAATAAGATAAAGAAGGCCAATAAGTGACTTAGCAAATGTTTGGGACAGAACAAGTCCTGCATTCAGCCTGTTACGTACATGTGACATCAACAGTGCAGAGAAGGAAGTGACTACTTCCATTTAGGGACAACTTCACAGGAAATATTGGGATCAAAAAGAACATACCCAGGAATGGGGACAGGACAGGGGTCAGTGAGACAGAGGCAGAGGAAGGGCAAGGGGAGGGAAAGAGGTGCAAAGGCAGATGTTACAAACCACAGGGCAAGCAGTGAGCTAAAAGTCCTTTGGTGTTATCAGTAGAGAACTGCTCAGAAGAAACAGTGAGAATAGGGATTGTGAAGGCAAACAAAACACATTTGTAAACCCCATTCTGCTGCCAATTTTATGCTGTTAAAGTGATGTTCAAAACTAGCTTCAAGTAAGCATAAATTATTTTTCTATGTATGAATGTATATATCTAAAGAGATCTGGTCTTATTCTGTCACCCCAGCTAGAGTAAGCAGCAGGCTCATAGCTCATAGTCCTGAACTCTCAAGCAATCCTCCTGCCTCAGCCTCCCAAGTAGTTGGGACTAGAGGTACACACAACCACATCTGGCTTATTTTTAGTTTTCTTTCTTTTTTTTTTTTTTGAGACAGAGCCTCAAGCTGTCCCCCTGGGTAGAGTGCCGTGGCATTACAGCTCACAGCAACCTCC